GCCCAACTCGCCTCCATCACAGTGATACTCTCCCTCCCCCAGCACCTGCAGAATGTTTAGTGCTTGGTGTGAAATGACCAGGGTAATCACTCCTTGATCAACTGGCTCATGTAAGTGGCCCGCATGGTCTGGACAGACCCAGGGGAGCTGCTGGAGGTGGTCAGCAAATGGTCCACATACACGGATCTGGTGCAAATAATCAGGGAGATGGGCATGCACCAGATAATCTTTTAGGAGCGCTATTAACAGCCCTGATAAGGAAGTGTTCACCACACGGATGAAGGACTTAATCCTTTCGTCTGGCTTGGCAGGCTCCTTTGACTCCCTTTGTGGACCGGCACATTCATGACGTCACAACGGCTATGGCTAGGCTGGGTGGAGATCCAGCAGGACAAAGTCGGGGGGAGTGGTTAGGCCCATCAAAACCACTCCCAGGGCTCGCCCACAGGGCGGAAGGCAAAATCCCTGCCCAGTGGCAGCGGGTCCTGTCAAAGTGAGCCAGAGGCAAATGTGGTTCAATCGCCAGGCAGCAGGTGTGTCGCAGGTCAAGATTGAACAGCAGTCCAATGAGGTGCTGCTGGCCCTCTGGACCCAGTTGAGCCCAGAGCAAGCCGCCAAAGGTTGCTGCTTGCAAAGTGTGGCTGCAGGACTTCTTTGACTAGGGATCGGGCTGAGGGACCCGGTTGGCAGGGGAACCGGGAGACAGGAGACCTCATGTGGAAAAGACCACTCAATGGTCCCCCCGCAATGCACAGCGTGTGTTGGCCCTGGTAGACACGGGTGCCGGCAGCACCCTGCTGTATGGCAATCCAGACTGGTTTGGAGGATCCCTAGCGTACACAGAGGGGTATGGAGGCCGCCATATATGTGTGCAGCAGGCAACTGTGGTTTTGGGCATTGGACGCCTTGCCCCACGGGCCTACGTGGTGTACATCTCCCCAGTAGCGGAGTACATACTAGGGATGGATGTGTTGCAGGGCCTTGCAGTGCAGACGACACAGGGCGAAATCCACTTGTGGGTGTGAGTTGTGAAGACAGTGGTGCAAGGGCACCCGCACCACAAGCCCGTTGTCCTGCCAAGCCCTGCTAGCACAGTTTGTGTGCGCCAGTACCGCCTCCCAGGAAGACATGAGATCAGCCAGACGATCCTGAAGCTGGAGGAGGCGGACATTATACGCCCCACTCCCAGCTCATTCAATTCTCCTGTGTTGCCAGTTCGCAAGCTGGATGGCACTTGGCGCATGACTGTGGATTATCAGGAACTGAACAGGGTGACGCCGCCCCTGCATGCCGCCGTCCCCTCCGTAATAGACCTCATGAGCCGTCTGTCCTTGACACTGGGGAGGTACCATTATGTTGCGGACTTGGCAAAGGCCTTTTTCTCCATTGAAATTACACAAGAGAGTCAGGAGCAGTTTGCTTACACTTCGGAAGGATGACAATGGACATTTGTGGTCCTGCCGCAGGGGTACCTGCACAGCCTGATGATCTGCCATGGACTTGTGGTGCAGGACTTGGCCATGTGGACGCATGCCCCAGTGGTGTCGTGGTTTCATTATATTGATGATATAATCTTAACCTCTGATTCTTTTGCAGAACTCGACAACGAGGCAAAGGCCCTCAGAGTGGCACTTAATGACTTGGGATGGGCTGTCAACAAGGCCAAGGTCCAAGGGCCTGGATTATCTGTCAAATTCTTGGGAGTTATCTGGTTGGGTAAGACCAAGGTTATGCCGGAAGCTGTCATTGACAAAATCCAGGCATATCCGTGCCCGGAAATGGTGAAACAACTCCAGACCTTTTTGGGCCTCTTGGGGTATTGGCAGATGTTCATACCCCGCTTGGAGACCATAACGTGCCCCCTTCATGGCTTGATGAAATGGGGTGCAGTGTGGGACTGGACCTCCAGGATGGAGGAAGCCTTTACGGCTGCCAAACAGTCTGTGGCTCAAGCCCAGACCTTGTGGGTCGCTGACCTCTCACTTCCATACCTGCTAATGGTGCAGGTGCAGGAGGAGGGCTTTGGTTGGAGTCTATGGCAAACCCATGGGACCAGGAAAGTGCCTTTGGGTTTCTGGTTTCAGCTCTGGAAGGGAGGTGAGCAGAGGTACTCGTTAATTAAGAAGCAGTTAGTGGCCATTTACGCAGCCCTAGTGGCCCTGTGAGGCCATCACATGTCCTGCACCTGTGACGGTGCAGTCCACATACCTGGTTGAGTGGCTGCGGTCATTGCTCAGGGCGCCCAGGATAGGGGTGGCCCAAACTCCCACACTGACCAAGTGGGGAGTGAATTTGAAGCAACGGGCTCCCATCCACTGTCCCAACAGCTCCATGAGCTGCGAGGCCTGGTGGCTTTCTGGGCAGACAAGAAAGCGGCACTTCCAGAACATCCTGTAGAGGTGGCCAAGCCGTACAGGGAAGGAAAGCCACCTGTCCCTGATGGGGCATGGTACACAGATGGCTCCTGTCGGGGCCGGCCCCCCACTTGGACTGCAGTGGAGTTATAGCCAGAATCAGAGGAATTCTGGTATGACACCGGCCCAGGCCAGAGCAGCCAATGAGCCGAGCTCAGGGCTGTCTGGCTGGTGCTCATGCACGAGCCAGGAGACGTGCATATCTGCACTGACAGCTGGGCAGTGTTACGGGTTCTAACCTTGTGGCTGCTCTATTGGGATGCCCAGTGGTGGATGACAGGATAGCGCCCCCTGTGGGGACATGCCCTTTGGGAGGACCTTTGGTCACAGGGTAAAAGTCAGGCAGCTACGATTTACCAAGTCCTCGGCCATAAGCCTTCCCTTTCCCCTGGAAATGATGCAGCAGACATGCTGGCACAGGTCCGCCCTGCCCATCCTCTCTTTCCTTCAGAGGTGAAGGATGCCACTAGGGGCCCTTGGTTACACTAGAAGCGAGGGCATGTAGGCCCACGAACCATGTGTCAAGTGGCCCAGTGCTGGGGTATGCCTCTGACAGTGACAGACGCCACAGAGGTTGTTCGATCATGTCCCCAGTGCACCAGCCACCACCCCCATAGGCAGCGATTGCTTACTCAGCCTGGAAAGGTTGAGCAGGGGCTATGCCCACTACAAGTGTGGCAGATGGATTATGTGGGGCCGCTTCCCCAAGCTGCGGGAAAGCAGTACCTGTTTACGGCAGTTGACACCACCACCGGCCTGGGGTTTGTGTGGCCTGTTCCCACTGCCTTGCAACAGGACACCATACGTGCCCTTGAGCAGCTGAGCACTGCGTATGGGTGGCCACTCACCATCTCGAGCGACCAACGAATCCACTTTGTGGGGTAGCGAGCTCAGCAGTGGGCGAAGGAGCACACAGAGGGGCAGCTGCACATCCCCAATCGCCCGCAGGCTGCGGGTATGATAGAACGTTTCAACGGGCTGCTGAAGGAAAAGCTCCAGGCCCTAGGAAGGACCAGCCCATGGAAGTAATGGGCATCCTGGGTGCCACTAGCGCTGCATCTGTTAAATGAGCAGTCGCAAAAGACAGGCCAGTCACCACTAGATAGTGTGGAAGAGGGACTGCCATGCGCCCTCAAGGTGGTACCGGGGTCGAGCAAGTGCCAAGACTTGCCCCAGGTATAGCAGGGAGCTTTGTTCCTGCCAACCCAGGAAGCTCTGGCTGAAGGCCAGACACGAACATGGACTTGGCCATGGAAGACTGTTGTCTCCTGGGATCCTTGGGTTGCCGTAGTGGAACCACAGGGGCCCGGCGCTGGTCATGGACTGCAAGTCCAGCCTTTGCTGTACTCCTGGCCAACCCCCTTGCAGGTCACCTTGCCGTAAGAGGGTACCTTTGCACTGGCCCTGTGGCCTTTGCGTTTGCGCAGGTCCAAGAAGTGGACTTGCCTTCTCCTACAGTTTGGGGGGAAACGGTGTGGTATCACCGTCCAGGGGCCCTGGCACTGGTGGCTACCATTCTTTCCCAGGACGGGAAAGTGGCTTGTGTACTGCCTGAAGGCAGAGATTTGCCCCTCATAGTCTCTGTCTCCTTACTACCTTATCGTCCAGCCTAGGTGCAGGCAACAGCATCCTGGCCTGGGCCCAGGTCTTCGCCCAGGTGCACAACGTCTCTCAGTGCTGGGTGTTGCACTGAGCTCCCCACACTGGCAGCTGAAGTACTCCCATGATGCATAACACCGGTTACAGCCTCAAACTGGACTGGACTGCGCTCCTGGCAGATGACCAGAGACTGGACCTCACGTCAGAAAGCAGTGGACACTCTTATACGACGAGGATACCACAACGCCTCACCCTTGCTGGGCTATGCAGTGAACAATGCGTGGGAATGGTTGACAGGGGAGCGGGCGGAAATGCCAGAGCAGGCCCCTTGTTGCACGGAGCAGGTGCGAGCCGTCCCAAACCGCACTATGGGTGGACCCAAAGAACTTATGTGCTGTGCCTTGTACTGCTGCTGTGGTCTTTGGGTCCAGGGTTCGGTCACAAAGAAGGGTGCGGTCCCAAACCCTGTAGGGGTGGAGTGTGGGGCCCAGGTGCTAGGGTCTTCAGTTAGGAAACGTTTACAGGCTTTGGAGACCGGCCTGCACGTCCCCCTTGGGGAGGACAGAGGGGAGGGAATGACTTGCTGATGTACATTTCCTGTTATCCTGTTAACTGCTTGTAAGTTTCCTTCCTGCGCATGTGTGCTGGCACCATGCACCTGTTGTTCGTATGAGGGTATAAAACCCCGCTCCCGTTGTAGAGTTCTGGCTCTGTGGCCCCGGCCTCGGATCCGTAAAGAGCTGCTGCGCATCTACGGCACACAGCCCGCCTCGTGCCTTCCTTCAGCTCGGCATCTCACCACCCAGGCGGTCCCTGATTGACACCCTTGGACCTGACACATATAAATGAAACTGTTAATGGATAAGGAAACGTATAAATCTAAATATTGGTAATATAGCATATTATTCCATTTTTAGGGGAAAATCACAATATTAAAATAAGACATCCTAACTGGAGAAAATGAGTTAATACAAGTAGTTTTTATTCTTTACATCATTTGATTCCGTATAATCAAGAAAAATTGTCAACAAGGTTTTTTTAATAAACATTTTATTTTGATTTACATAAAAGCTGAAACACAGCATAGTCTCTGTGTACCCTTTACCTAGTTTCTCCTGTCATTATTACCCTACATTACCATGGTACATTTGTTATCATGAAGATGCTAATGTTGGTATGTTACTATTATCTAACCCCAGATATTGCTCATTGTTTTTTCTATTAATGTCCATTTTCTGATCCAGGATTCCATCCAGGATAACCCATTGGGTGTAGTCATCATGTCTCCCCAATATCCTGTTACAGTTTTTAGTCTTTGCTTCTATTCCATGATCTTGACAGTTTTGAGGAGTACTGATCAGGTATTTTGTAGAATTACATTCAGTTTAAATTTGCCTGCTATTTTTTTCTTGTGATGAGACTAGGGTTATAAGTTTTTAGAAAGAATACCACAGAGGTGATCTGCCCTTTTCATCACATCATATGAAGGGGAACATGATATTCACAGGACATCACTGGGGATGTTAATCTTTATCAGATAGTTAGGGTAGTATTTGCCCGGATTCTTCACTACAAAATTATGATTTTTCCCTTTCCATAAGCTATTTTTTGGAAGTGAATAAGTCTAGCCCACTCTCAAAAAGGTAGGGGGGGGATTATGCTCTACCTCCTAGAGTAGAGAACATCTGCAAATATGATTTGTAATTCTTTTGTATGGAAGATTTGGCTATCTTCCTCCATTTACATATTTATTGAATCACTTACTCATATATTATGGACTCATGGATATTTACTGTATCCTTTGGGTTACAATCCAATACTATCATTTACTTTGTTGCTTAAATTGTTAAATGTTGCAATGAGATACCACCTCACTTTTGTCAGAATGGCTATCATCAATAAATAAACAACAAGTGCTGGCAAGGTTGTGGGGAAATGGGAACCCTGGTGCACTGTTGGTGGGACTGCAGATTGGTGCAGCCAACTATGGAAATCAGTATGGAGGTATCTCAAAAAACTGGAAATGGAACTATCTTATGACCCAGCAATTCCACTCTTAGGGATTTATCCAGAAAAAACCAAGACACCAATCGAAAAAATATATGCACCCCTATGTTTATTGCAGCATTATTTACAATAGTCAATAGACTTGGAAACAATTGAAATGCCCATCGGTAGACGACCGGATTAAGAAACTGTGGTGCATTTACACAATGGAGTATTACTCAGCTATAAAGAAGGAAATCGTATCATTTGCAACGATATGGATGGACCTAGAGTACATTATGCTAAGTGAAATAAGTTAGTCAGAGAAAGACAAATACCATATGATATCACTTATATGTGGAATCTAAAGAACTGAATAAACGAGTAATGTAAACAGAAATAGTCTCCGAGACAGAGAGGAAAAACTGAGGGTTGCTAGTTGGGAGGGGGTGGGGATGAAGGAGAAGTGGAAGGGATGAGACAATACAAATTGGTAACTACAATATGGCCTCAGGGATAGAAGGACAGTCTGGGAAATACAATAAATAATGTTGTAAATATTTTTTAGGTGGCCAGATGGACTCGTCTTGTTAGGGAAACCACCTCATAAACAGTGTAGAGGCCTGACCACTGCATTGTATATCTGAAGCTGCTGTTGAATAATATTATATGTCAACTATAATTTAATACATATATAGTCATGGGATGTGGAATATAGAGTGGGAATGGAGTCAATGGAATTGTAATAGATATGTATGATATCAGGGGTGGGGAGGTGGATTGTCACTTTGTGAGGGGTGAAAAGGATAACTATTGCATTGTTTTGTATACCTGAAACTAATAATTAAAAAAAAATTGTTACAGTGTTGGCCATTGTAAGCTCTTTTTGCTGGCTTTTATATCCCATGACATACTCTCATCTCTTTGTTTTTTGATCATTTCCTTACTTTCTGCTACTACAAGATGCTCCAGGCCTATCTTGTGTTTTCCTTGCCCCAGCCCTAGCATCAGTCTGTCAGAAAGCATTTAATGATATCTTCTGGCTCATAGTATGGGATGAGGCAAAAGTTCTCACTTTATGTCATCATTGAGTCATACTGAAACTCATAAAAATAAAAAAGATAAAATTCAAATTTATTCATTTCCAAAAACATGTGTTTTTTTTTAAAGTTTAAGTTTTGAAATTTTTTATTTATTTTTTATTCTAACTCAAGTTTCTGAAGAGCAAAACCTCCTAGGATATGTACTAAAGCAAACCAGTCCCCTGCGCCCCACCCCACTCCTCCACACACTTTTTTTTAAACAAAAGAAGTATCTCAGGAATAAGACTTTATTTCTGCCTCTCACAGAGATATACCAAATTCATCTGTATGGCTCATCAAAATATGCTAGAAAAAAAAATTAGCCTGTCTACTTCCGGTCTCTAGTCTCTCTCTATAGGACACAAAGATAAGCGGTCAAAAAACTTGTATAAAATATCATTGTTTGGTACTCTTCAAACTGCGATATCAAATAAAAATATAACACCTTCAAAATGCAAACATAAAAAGGAGTTTGCAAATTCTCTAATAAAATGGAAATGTCACATGATATGCATTGTGGGGTAAAAAAGGGATATAGGCTGACAAATTTCTGATTCATTAGTAAAGTTCTGAACACCACATTAATCTTATAAAAGAGTAAAATGGAAGATTTTTTAATATCAAAAATTGGCTTGGAGTGGCTAGAATATTCTCACTTCTCTCCTTTCAATGAAATGGGGTTCTGGGGCAAAATTGGATTTCTGCATTTCACAGTCATCTTACACAGTTCAGAACTTAGAAACTTTTTAATCAGACACACGGAAACCATCTAATATATAAACAGATATATTATGTCTAATAGTCATTTTCTCTTCCTATCAGCTCAGATCCTAAAATGTCATTATCTGTATATCATTTTACAGATTTGACATACTATACCTCAGTTGATCATCATGACCCTATAAAATAGTACTAAACATTAGCATCTTCACTGTCTTTCAAAGAACGTGGCTTGTCCAAACTTATACCTTAATAGTAAAGTGCAATTAATAAAATAAATGTATTTCCCAATACTTAACTCAGTGCTCTTTCTAAATCACCACACTTATTCTTTGTGTCATGTCAACTCTAAAATATTCTGCCCCCTCTCCTCATTACTTTATAAAGAATAAACAGTTATGAATGCAGAAATATGCTTTCTCTGTTCAAAATGTTATTTTGAATGATAAAATGAACAACCAAATAAATAGGCATTCTTCAAACCTCTATGCCAACTAGAGAACCAGATATTTTTTATTTCATCCGCACTGAGAAAACATATACAAAGGAATTATCAGAGATTATTTTTCTGCTTTGTAAAAGGAAAGCAATACTGTACACTGCATTTTACACAGAGACTGGGTGGAAAAGCCACTGAATTAAGTAAAAATCAAGTATAATAAAACATTTCCATTGAAAATCCCTTTAATCACCTATAAAAATGCACTACAACTGAAACGATGTAACCGAAGTATGCATCAGACACGACACAACTGTTTTTTCTAAAACATGTATCTGGTGACTAACTAAAATGATTCAGCAACTAGAATTATAAACTTCATTTAAGCATATGCAATAACTGGATAAAAATCCCATTTGATACCCAAAAGAACTGAAAACAGACTCAAACAGATATTTGTATATCTATGTTCATAGAAGCATTACGATAGCCAAAAGATGGAAACAACCCAAGATGAATGGTTTGGTGGCTAATTAATGTCATGTATCCACTTGATTGGGCCATGGGGTTATCCTGAGTGTGTCTGTGAAGGTGTTTCTGGATGAGATTAACATTTGAATCTGTGAACTGGGTAGAGCAGATTGCCTCTCTCCTCCCCCCCTCCCCATATGGGTGAACTTCATTTGATCCATTGAAGGCCTTGATAGAACAAAAATGTCTAGAAACAGAAAAGCAGGGAGCATGTGTGGGAATGGGTATTAAGGGTGTGGAAGAAGCAATCAGGTCATATTTATTGACAGGCTCAGAGATTCTGTATTTAACGTTGCACCTTGGGGAGTTAGGAAGGGCTCCACTAGTTTGTTTGATTGGCTGGCTGAAATAGACCAAAAGGTGGCCCACAGTGAGTGAATTTACTTTGGTTAAACGTAGAGGAAGGGATTCACAGGTTTAGGGAGATAAGAATGTTAAAGTAGATCTGTCACTGAAGACCTACTCGCCCACTCAGAATGGGAGAATCCAGAGGACATACTTTTGACCACTACCATGAGAAATGAGGAGAACCCGAGCATCCATGAAGAGCTCTATGACAACTCTTCTTTTATGCTAGACCTCACAGTGGGAACTGAAGTCACTCAATTAAGAAACCCAACTGCAATGTGAGTAACTGGATCCTGGGGTGGCAGCAGCTAAGTGGCAGCACTTGAGTGTCAAAGGCAAGGTGGGTGTGGTTACTCAAGGTGGGCGGCAGAGTCAGAGCAGCACTCACACTAGTCCAACTCACACAGGCCTATGGCACTGGCTACTTAAGCATGGTGTTTCTAGAAGTGAGATAGGGAGCCTACTGAAGTATTACTTGATGTGTATAAGCAGAAAAGTGCTAGGTCAAATGAACAAAAGTCTAACCTGAATCATAAAAACAGAGTCACAGTCAATTCTCAAAATGAAGCCAGGGTACAGACCTGAAACTTTTTGGAGAAGGGGAGGCCAAGTCCCCATAAGGAATGACTGACCCAGGCACACTGCCCAGAATTATAATGCTAATCTTTCTCCCATCCTCCCCAAAGAAACCTACGGCCTTTTACCAGAGTAACTGCCCTGGGGAAA